GGTCCCTGTCTACGTCCCCTTCAATCCCTCTCAGCCCCTCTTAGGTCCCCCGTTGGTCCCGCAGCCCCCATCTCGCCCTTGGCCTCCCCTCCTCTCCCCAACAAAGCCCAGCTGTGGTTGCAGAGCCGCCCCTCCCACGTGGAGATACTTCCCTGCTGAGGGGGTGTGAGTGGGCACTCACCTCGCCACTGGAGGGTAGTGAGGGCCTCAATCTGGTAGTTGTGTCTGCACACCGTCCTCTTAGGTCCCCCGTTGGTCCCGCAGCCCCCATCTCGCCCTTGGCCTCCCCTCCTCTCCCCAACAAAGCCCAGCTGTGGTTGCAGAGCCGCCCCTCCCACGTGGAGATACTTCCCTGCTGAGGGGGTGTGAGTGGGCACTCACCTCGCCACTGGAGGGTAGTGAGGGCCTCAATCTGGTAGTTGTGTCTGCACACCGTGTCCACATAGGCCCGCTCCCGCTCCATGAGCTCCTTCTGGCCATTCCAGTTCTCAGCGATGAGCCGCCCCAGCGGGGTCAGGGCGCGGAACTCCCCCACGTCGCTGTCATAGCGCACCTGCTCCTCCAGGTTGTAGAGGTATCTGGCCACACCCCGCACGTGCTGCGTCCCATTGGTGAAGTAGCAGAGGCCCTTAAACTGGAGCACGAAGTTCCCTGCGGGGAGCCGCCCTTCAGGCCTCAGCCCCCGGGCAGAGCGGCTGGTGTGCCTGGGGACAGGCTTGCAGCCCCACCGGACCCAGCCTTGGCCCCACCCTGCGCCCCGGCCCGGACCCTCAGGAGGCTCCTCCACCCCCTCCCCGCCTAGAGGGAGGGGACAGGGTCTCCTGGACGCCCTGGGGCCTGGGATCCCGCCTGAGCCTGACACCAGCTGGGCAGGCAGTCTGGGATCTCACATCCAGGCCCCGCCTTAGAGCGGTCAGGACGCCCTCCCCTGAGGTCACATTTCCCATGGAATCCGGAACCTCAGACCAGGGTACCCACAGGCCTGAGAGTCCAGGGAGCAATGACGGAAAGCCCTGAACGAGCATCCTCGCTCCACAGGCTCGCACTCACCCCTCCTCCCACTCAGTCTGGCACAGACATTCCCCCACTCAGTGTGGTCCCAGAGACCAACCCCTCCAACCCCAGAAAGGGAGCTCATCATGGAAAGGGCACAGGCTTCCGAGTTAGATCAGCTCGATCCCAGGTGGACTGTGCCAACAGCCAGCTGGGCAGTTGCCCAGAGCACCCAGAGCATAAAGGCAATTGTGTAGAAAGACCAGGACACCTACACCAGGGGTGGTGGGAAGACTGACAGAGTTTACATGAAGACAGAATCCTGTCTGAAATAAATGGCTTCTCAGCATGTCATCCCCTCTTCACTTTCCCTTTCTCCTCAGTTCCCTCCACCATCAACTCAAGACCAATCCCACCCACTCACTGTGTGACCCTCAGTCCCTGGGAGGAAGCTGAGCCCCTGCCTGTGGCACCAGGTCAGCTGCCCGGATGCCAGGGTTTGCTGCCAGCCCTCCGCTCAGACTCAGGGATGGGGAGCCCTTTCCCCAAAACCTGACACCACAGACCTGCCGCACACATTTCCCCAACCAGATCCCCTTAGTCTTTAATCAGACAAGGTTTTGGGGACAAGTCCTGCTGTCTCCTCTTTGGAAACATTCTATCTTCAAAAATAACCATTTTCCTGTCACTGGCAGTGGCCAGTCTCCTCCCTCCCATTGTGTCATCCCCAGGCTGGAGCCCCTGAGATGGCCATGTCCTCACCTTGTCACCAGAAGGCAGACATGAGAACGTAGCAGCTCCCTTTCCCAAAGAGGAAATGCTGATCACAGACTATTCTCAGGTCATAGCCCCCCCACGCCCCAGCCAAGGGTCCCTCAGAGCCCATCCCGGGCTGGCTGCGGAGCAGCTGCCCTGCACTCACATGGAGAGTCCCCGCCCTCAGCCACTGGGACACTCAGCGCCACCAGCCACACCATCACAGCTGCTGTCCAGGGGCCTCCGGGGGCCCGCAGAGCCGGCTTCCCAGACATAATGGAGATAAAGGAAGAAGTAAGGGAGTGAGCCCGGCTCCACCTGATGGCTGATGTAACCACTTCAGAGAATAGAAACCTGTGAGAGCAACCACACAGGGTCAGACTGCAGAGTTCTTAGGAAAGGAGCCAATCAGCACTGGAGCTGACCCACCTTCTGTCTCCGGGCAGATGCTTTCTATGGAGGTTCCTTAGCCAGTGCCTGGAACCCAGCCTTCATCAAATTGCTGCTGGATGAACATTTGAAGACCTTTCTTGGTTACAGAAGGTGAATGCCTTGGGAATTAAAGAACCAAGAGAGAAAAGTGGACATCTTTGTGATATTCAGTTAAAACCTATTATCCTTACACATGAGATTTTTAGGAGGGAAATAAGTGGGGATCATGTATCAGAGAGAGAAAATCATTGTCAGGAGATGCTCCCTTCTATTATCTTAAACAATCAGGAGCCTGAAGCCGTGGTGGGAAGAGCAGAGCCGTGAGAGGAATGGTTTTGAGCTGTAGCTCTACCTTGAATGCGCTTTATGAGACAAGTTACTCAACCTCTTTTAGCCTCAGGTTTCTCTTTGGAAAATGTGGATCATGTTTCATGCATTTTACATCTAATCTTCATACACACACACACTTACCAGCCACACAGCCCAGGAATATGACTGCTTTAATAGTGCAGTGTTCCGCTCTGCTGCATGTTTAGCTGTTGGGAATATCACACACAAAATGACACAAGCCCTGCTGGCAAGTGAGTCTTCCTTATGAGAGAATCTCCTACATTTGTGCTCTTTGAATGAAAGTATTTGAAAGTTAAGTTGATTTTTCTTTTTCTTGTTTGTTTGTTTGTTTGATGCAGCCTATTGCAAGCTCTTAAAACTCTCCATGTGAGGTTTTCTCAGCCTGCCATTGGGGCCGGCCACAAGAGCTGGGAGTTTAATGGCCGTGAGAGTATCTGAAGGCTAAGGAGAGGTGAGAACATCCCTCTCTTCTCCAATGGAATATTCTGAAGTGGGTTCTACTGTGCTAGGGGGAGGAAATGAAACATGAGAAACTTACTGAATGTGTTGGGGGGAGGGACTGCGGCCTGGAAAAAGTTACTGATTGTGTCAAGGGCAGGGACCATGGGAGAGAAAAATTGCTAATTATCTCGATAGAAAAGCAATGTGTTATAATTGAACCCAGCCAGATATAACCCTGCTCGTAAATTTTATGTAAACTTTTTACCCTGCCAGTACCAGGAACGGCTAATGAACCGCTTTGTAGTTAGTTTTTTCTTTTTTTTCTAACACTGTGTAGTTGGCAATAAAAGATCTTGCTGCACCCTTGGTCGGGGCCACATGCTGCAAACCTTCCCAGAGGGGGAAGGTGCGGGCTGTGGTCAGCTGGCTAGCTTAATAAAGGCTCTTAAATTTAAATTCTGAGTCGGTGGTCTATCTCGCTGAGCCAACCCATAACACTACATTGAAGTTGACTTTTCTCTTCTAAGCTCTTCGGCTGCTTCAGTCCTCCCTGGTCCATCTGATGTCACAAAGGCACAACCACAAGCATTCATATCAACAGGACACAGGCACCTGTAGCTCCAGGCCAGAGAGCAAAGATGTGGAGAAGCACCCTGGGGCCTGCACCGTGTGACTGAGGGAGCAGGTGTTCACACTCACAGCTCATGCTGTATGGCCCCTGAACATCAAACCCCACAGGCAGAACTATTGATGGAGTTTTTAATAAATGTATTATTTCTCAGCCTCCTCTTGCTCATTACTAGGGATAGTACTGAACAGCTATTGAGCAATTAAGACAATGCCTGGAAAACATTAATAAACAAGGTAAGTCTCTCTCTCTCCTACATTTTAGGTTCTCCTTTTAAATTTGAGGACAGGATCTGAATGCAGAATATAAGCAGTTTGCCAGGTAAAAGAAGCAGGGAGGAGGCAACAACAAGGGGTCGTGTTAGTGGCATGTGGAGGCCGTGAGCTGGTTCTGATTTCTCTGTTGGGTGCATCTCTCTGGAGCCCCTGAGCCAAGGGATCAGCCCTGGGCTCTGACCAGCAGTGGTGGGTCAGGGTCAGGCTCACTCCAGAGTCAGGGTGGAAGCATAGGGGAGGAACATCCAACTCAGCCTGGAATGGGGCTGGGGGACAAGGAAGAATAGGCAGAGAGGGAACTTGAAGGTGCCTCAGTGCCCTAAGCCCCCACCTCAGGGTCCCTCAAAATCAGCAGAGGCCTCTGACCCATCATCTGCCTCCAGTCATAGGGGAGAAATTCGATCAGTTCTGCTCTGGGCTGTGCACTTGGTTCTGTTCTAGACCGTGCACTCGGTTGTGCCCTGGGCTGTGCACTCAGTTCTGTTCTGGGCCGTGCACTCGGTTCTGTTCTGGGCTGTACACGAGGTTCTGCTCTGGGCAGTGCACTCGGTTCTGCTCTGGGCTGTGTACTTGGTTCTGATCTGGGCCATACACTTGGTTCTTTTCTGGAATGTGCGATCAGTTCTGTTCTGGGCCGTGCACTCATTTCTGTTCTGGGCAGTGCACTCAGTTCTGTTCTTAGCAGTGCACTCAGTTCTGTTCTTGGCTGTGCAGTTGGTTCTGATTTGGGTCGTGCACTCAGACCTGTTCTGGGTTGTGTGGCCAGTTCTGTTCTGGGCCATGCAGTTGGTTCTGCTCTGGGCCGTGCATTCGGTTCTGCTCTGAGCTGTGTGGTCCATTTGTTCTGGGTTGTGCACTTGGTTCTGCTCTGGGCCATGCAATCAGTTCCTCTCTGGGCCATGTACTCGGTCCTGCCCTGGACCATGTACTTGGTTCTGTCCTGGGCCATGCACTCGGTTCTGCTCTGGGCTGTGCATTTGGCTCTGATCTGGGCCGTGCAACCGGTTCAGTTCTGGGCTGTGCACTCCATTCTGCTCTGGGCTGTGCAGTGAAGGCTGCCTCAGACCTGGGGATTCCTGGGCCTCACGGGCCTCTTAGCACAGACTCTCTACTAGCAACAGGGTTGTCAGCTTAGACTCCTTTTTCTGATTGGCTAAAATCTCATCTGAAAGGTTTGGTTTGGACTTCTGCCAGCTGCTTCCCTGACCCAGTCAGCATTCTCTACATTTTCTGGATTTTTCTGCACTGTCCCCATCCTGGAGACAGTACTCAGGGCAGCCACTGCTGGCCTGGCTTGGTCTGGGAGGAAGGCAACATCCCAATTCCAGCACCTCAACTGAACCACCTGGCAGGGCATGGGTAGATGTTGCGATGAAGAAGCAGCTGGGGTTTTTTTTTGGTTTTTTTTTGTTTTTTTTTTTATTAAATCTTTATTGTTCAGATTATTACATTAGTTACTCTTTTTTCCCACCATAACTCCCCTCCACCCAGTTCCAACCCCACCCTCTGCCCTCACTCCCCACCCACTGTCCTCATCCATAGG